CGGGTTTAGGGATACCGGGTTAGCTGTGCCGGGTGTAGCCGTGCCGGGTTTAGCGATGCTGGGTCATTCGGAGCGGCAGCGGGTGCCTTGGGCTGTCCCCGCCGCGGGGGGATGTCACCACGGGGACCCTCTGTAGAGGCAAAGTGAGACTGGACCGATCCGGGCACCGCGGGGTGTGGACGTGCCTGGGTGCCGGGTCCATGCCAGGGGCTCTCCTGGCTCGGGCGCTGTCACCTTTCATTGTTTCCTTTGACAATTACCGCGGTCGGTCGCTGATGGGAAGAGCTGTAGGAGCGTTTTTTTAGCCGAAGGTGACACGAAATTGTAACAGCGCCGCACTTTTTGTTCGAGTTCATTTACCTTGTGCCAGCTCGGCTCTTTGTGTGCGGCACCTCCGAGGTTTAGAAGCTCGGTGTGACCTCCCCTCGCCGTGTGCCTGGGCCGTGCCCATCCCGGCGGTGTGGGGCAGCCCGAGGGATGAGGATGAGGAGCCCTGGGGCTCTCCTGGCTGCGGGGATTCGGCTCTGAGAGACGAGCCCTGATTCGGGCGATGCTGGCTGAGCTCCTCTCCCAGCCGCCCCTCGGTGCTGCTGTTCCTGTGCTCCCCAGGAGGATGCAGGGCTATAGGGTCGCTGTTCTCTGCCTTCCCGGGGCCAGGAAGGGGAGGCTGGGTGAGTGGAGAGGCTCCGTCCAGCCTGATGGGCTGGGGCTCAGGACTGGGAGCAGCCCTTGAGATTTGTGTCCCTTTAGGAACCACAGCGTTTGTGGGGCTGTGCCATCAGCATTGTCCCTGGTCCCTCGTGGGGACTCTGACTGATCCCTGATGCTGCTCAGCCCCCATGGCACACTGCTGAGCCTGGGAAGGACCGTGCTGCTCCCTGGGCTGGAAATCTCCTTTCTCCTCCCAGGGCTTTATTAAAAACTGCTCCTGGGCAGTCCCTGGGCTGCTGTGGGCTCTGAGCCTCTTACCCCTGGCAGAGGGGGGTACCCCAGGGCTCCTGGCATGTCCTGCTCCCTCTTGGCCAGCCAGAGGAGGCCATCCCAGCCCTGGAGCTTCCCTGGGCACTGCTGGTCTGAGCTGCTGCTGGGGCTGCCCCCTCTGGGGCTGCTGCCTGGGGTGGGATGAGATGTCCCCCTGCTGCTGCTGGGGCTGTGGCTCCACCTGCAAGAAAGTGCCTTTTCCATGAATTCAGAGTTTCCCATCCATCCCCAACAGGGACTTCACCTTTCTGGGGAAACTCAGGAACACCCACTGAATGAATAACTTGGCCCATGCTCCCACCAGGCAAAGTGACATTGGGCCAATAAATTCACCAATCACCATGAAAACCGTCATCATCTTAAAATGAGAGTCAGGCCCCCGAGCTAACCTGACGGACCCTGATTTTGTAGCTGTTCCCAAGCAGGCCAGGCATCCCAGGAATGCCGTGGGTCCTGTGTTGTGTCTGTAGCAGGGGCTGGCAGGCTCAAGAGGGGGCTTGGTGTTGAAGGAAGGCATGGGGATGAGGGGAAAGGGATGTGCTGCTCCCAGACTGGAAAAATGTTTAAACTGGGGTTTACTGGGAATGAGTTCAGGTCACCCTGGGCTGCTGTGGGCTCTGTGCCCTGCCCATCCTGCCAGGCTGGGTGAGGGACACGGCTGCTTTCTGGGGCCCTGTGGAGCAGGGAGCCCTGGCCTGGTGGGCGCAGGTCAAGGTCTGGGGGGTTCCCAAGGCTCCCTGACCTCTGGATTTGGGCTGGACCCCCCAATCAGGTGCATTGCAGGGGTGCTCCGTTCCTCCAGCCCCGGGACCCCCGTGGCAGCGGTGATGGGGTGTCTGGGATGTCCCTGAGCCCAGAGGGTGAGGCCGGGCCCAGCCCAGGGAGCAGCCGGGCCATGATGGCCATGTTTGTTGTGGGCAAATGGTGGCTGTTTTTCCCAAGGCCTCAGCCAATCAAAGCACGGAGATCTGCATCTCATTTGGGTACTGCAGCCGGCTATGGAGCTGTGCAGCTGCCAGGATGGGGTAGCTGGGCCCCGCGTGGTGTGTGGGTCCTGTGGCCCTGTGCGGGGGTCAGAGGGGCCTGTGCTGCCCCCAGAGCAGCATTTTGGGAGGAGCAGCGTCCCCACACACCGTGTGCCATAAATAAATACGTGTCCTTGTATGTTTGTTGTTCTGTTCCCATCCCGGAGCGGCCGGGACCCCTGGGCAGCGAGCGGCTTCCCAGTGCAGGAAAAAGAAAAGGAAGCAAATGGTGTGGAAATGCATGGCAAATTGGGATGCAATACACAGCGGGGCTCTCCCTGCTGCGTGAGCCCCGGCCCGGGCAGGGGGGCGCTGGGGAATGAATTACTGGGGATGGCAGGGCGGGAGGGGATGCGGGGATGCGGCAGCGGCCGCGTCCGGGCATGGCCAGGCGGGGCTTTGGCCTTTGTCACCGCGAAACGTTGGCTGAAAATGTCCCACATTGCCCATGCACGAGGTGTGAGGAGCTGCGGGAAGGGCTGGGAGAGGCTCCAGGACAGGCAAAATGCGACAGTTTGGGGTTTCCTTGGAGAGCTGAGCTGGAGATGGCTCCCGGGCTGGGGAGCAGGGGCTGGTTTAGGTTTGGTGTGTCTGTGGGGATAAAACTTCATCCAGAGCGGGGAGGATCCTCTCACCTGTCTGGCCTGGGACATGGAAGCGTCTGTAAGATATAGTCGATCATTTATAACACATCCCTCAGCCCGGGGCACATATCAGGGCCAGGAGGGGATGGTGAGGTTCCAGTGAGTGCCATGGGTCTCTGGGGCATCCCCTGGGGCATCCCTTGGAGCATCCTTGGGGCATCCCTTGGAGCATCCCTTGGAGCATCCCCTGGACCATCCCCTGGAGCATCCCCTGGAGCATCCCTGTGGTGCGGCGGTGCTGGGGTCCCCCCGGGCCCGGCGGCAGCCGCCGGTGTTCCCGGGCTTTGTCCCTCGGGCCGAGGAGCGGATCCCGCTCCGGGGGAGCCGCCGGGGCTCTGGATGGCCCCGGGGCAGCGGCTGGAGGCGCCGCGGGTTCGGGGGGATGCTCCGGGCCGGGCTGTTACCGTGAGCCGCTTCCCCCGCCCGGGCCGGGAGCTCGGGGGCCTGAGCGCGGCTCGGGAGCCCTCGGCCGCCGGCTGCCGGTACTGCACCGGGACACCGGGACATTGGGACACCGGGACACCGCCATACCGGCACACCGGGACATTGGACGCTAGGACACCGGGACACCGGCAGGGCAGGAGGCAGTGGGAGATGGGTACGGGGGGATGAAGGAACAGGATGGGGCCAGGGAGGGGGATCCCCCCCGGTGTGCTCAGAATCCCAGGGCTGGTTGAGTCAGGAGCTCAGTCCCTGCTCCCAGCTGAGGGAGGATCAGCTCTCAGACGGGGATTTGTGTCAGGAGGTTGGGTCACCACAAACTCCATGTTCCCTGTGTGGGTCTGGGGAGCAGACTGGGACCAGCCCTATGAGCACTGCAGCTTCTCAGTACTCAAAGGTTTATAGAAAAGAGGGAGAGTGGCATTTTAAATGGGCAGAGAGTGATAGGACAGGGAAGTGGTTTTAAACTTCAGAGAGGAGAGATTTAGGTTAAATGTTCGGAGGAAATTCTTCCCTGAGAGGGCGGGCAGGCCCTGGCACAGGTGCCCACAGCAGCTGGGGCTGCCCCTGGATCCCTGGCAGTGCCCAAGGCCAGGCTGGATGGGGATGGGAACACCTGGGACAACAGGAGGTGTCCCTGCCATGGCAGGGGTGGCACTGGATGGGCTTTAAGGTCCGTTCCAACCATTCCATGTGTTTGTGATCCTGCTCTGTACGTGCTGGGCACGAGGACGGTCAGAGCCTGGCACCAGCGGGTTCTGAGCCCTGCAGGCTCTGCCAGGATCCCCAGGGTACCAGCAGAGCTGGCTGCCCCTGCCCTGGCAGTGCTGAGCTGCAGGGGCAGCCCAAGGTCACCAGCAGCAGAGCTGGGAAGGTTTCTGTGCACACCCTTATCGTTAATCCCACTCTGCACGGCGTGCACAGCGCTGGCCACGCTCCCCTTTCGGAGCCTCCCTGCTGCTGCCGCTGCCCTGACCCCCACCCCAGCACCGTTTCAAGCCAAACATTTTCTTCCTGTTTTTCTGAGGGTGCGGCTCTTGTTTCATCTCGTTGGGTGAAGCCGATGCAGCGAGCGAGTCTCTATGGCAACAGATGTTTATCGAGCCCCTGAGCTGAGGCACAGGGCTGGGGAAAGGCACCACAGCATCTGGGAGGGCTCTGGGGGTGCTGGAGTGCCACGCTGGCAGGGCTGGAGGGGGGCTGCTGGATGGGGGGGTCTTGCTCCCTGTCCCCAAAACCCCAGCCCGGCTGGAGGGCCCTGGGCTGCTTCCTGCACAGGGAGCTTTGGGTTTGTACAGGGGCTTTGCCTCAGCCTTGCTGGGGTGAGCTCCTGGGAGCCTGGCACAACCAGGACTGGCACAACCAGGAGCCTGGCACAACTCCTGCCAGCCCCTGGCTCAGAGGAGTCACAGAGCTGTGTGTTGTGAGCTGGGGGTCCTGACCCTGGCACTGCCACGTTCCCTGTCTCCAAAATACATCAATGCCCCTCTGGAGCTGCACTCAGGGCAGGTCTCAGCAGTTCTGCCACGGAGCAGTGCAGCCAGGCCCATCCTGCCTGCAGCTTTGCTGCTCAGGGGGGCACGGGGGGCATTTCCCAGTTTTGGCCACAGGCACAAGGCACAGAAGGACAGGCAGGATGGTGCTGAGCACACCCAGGGCTCCTGGGGCAGGAGCTGGAAGTGCTGAGTGACTTTGGGACCCTCCCGAGGCTTTGGGTGCCGGTGCCAGCCCTGCATGTGGCCAGCAGGGACAAACAGAACCTCTCTGTGTCCTGGGCAGGTCCAGGCTCAGCGGCTCCACCCCGGGTGGGGCCTGGCGCCTTTCAGGGGAGGCTCCAGCTCACTTAGAACAGATTTAATTAGCGTGGACACTCATTAAGTACCGGCTGTCCCTGCTCCAAACCCACCCTGGAGCTGCTGTGCCCCCCGCATTTGGGGGGATGCACACACGGGGTGACCGTGCCAGGCTGGATCGGTGCATCCCCCAGCAGAGCATCCCAGTGTCCCCCAAAGCCCGGCAGAGGCATCTGCTCGGGGCCTCAGGCATGCTGGAGGAGCGTGGGTCAGGAATTTGGAGATGATTTGGGAATTCTGTCCCATTCACGAGCCTGGGACTGGTTGTCTTTGTGAGCCTTGTCCTTCCCACGAGTTCTGGCAGAGTTGCCTGGAGCTCGGGGGCTGCCAGGACAGGAGAGCACGGCGCTGCTGGTGCTCATTCCAGGTCTCTGCAGCCTGCAGGAGTCGGCTGGAGGCGCCTCGTGCCAGGGAATTGATCCGGAGTTACTCGTTCTGTGGTTCTCTGGGCGAATTTGCGCTGTGAGGGAAAGGGACCAACTGTGGTCTGGCAGCCACGAGCAGAGCCACGAACAGCCGAGGATTCCACAAACAGCGGAGGATTCACCCTCCTTTGCTCGTGGTCCACACCTGGCTGCACGCAGAGGACAGAGGGACAGGGCAGGGGACAATGGCAGGGTCCAGGAGGGTGCCCACCCTTCTCCTCAGCCCAGCCCATGCCCTGGGCAGTGCCAATGCTGATCTGGGGCAGGAAAACTCAGAGTCCCGTGTGAGGTGCAAAGCCCCTGCTGTGCCCTGCAGGGAGCGGTTTCGGGGGGCTCCACAGACCGGGGAAACCCGGGGGTTCCACACCCAACTGGGGCACGGTTTGCTGGGGTGTTTGCCCCCATCCTGGGGGTCCTTGGGTCGGTTACCTGGTGGCGGTCAGAAAACTCCTCCCCAGCATCCCAGAACCGCAGCGAGGCCCAGCAGCAGCGGCAGCTTCTCGGCGGGATGGAGAGCACCCGAACCTGCCGTGCCGAGAGGGCGGTGAGTGCCAGCCCTGCCCCGGGGCCGGTGCCCACCGGTGACGGGTGACCGTCACCTCCTGCCGCCCCTTCCCCGCCTCCCTCCGCCCGGCCGGGAGCAGCTCCGCCCCGGTGCCACGGTGAGCCCTGCCCGGTTACCGAGCGGCGGGGATGGGGGGACACGGCCCGGTGCCCCGGAGCCGCTGGGGGTGGCGGCGGCCGCCAGGTGTCGCTGTTCCCGCGGGAATCCCGGCGGAGCGGAGCGCGCCCGGTGCCCGGTGCTGCTCCCGGTGCCGCTCTCGGTGCCCATTGCCGCCCCCCGGTGCCCATTGCCACTTCTGGTTCCTGTTGCTGTTCCCGGTGCCCACTGTCACTGCCGGTGCCTGCTGCCCTCCCAGTGCCCCCCATGACACCCGCTGCTCACCATTGCTGCCATTGTTATTGCCATTGCCGTCGCCATTGCCATTGTCGTTGCCATCACCATTGCCATTGCCGTCACCGTTGCCATTACCGTCACCGTTGCCATTGCCATTGCCGTCACCATTGCCGTCACCATTGCCGTTGCCGTTTCCGTCACCATTGCCATTACCGTCACCATTGCCATTACCGTTGCCATCACCATTGCCATTACCATCACCATTGCCATTGCCGTTGCCGTCACCATTGCCGTTGCCGTCGCCATTGCCGTTGCCGTCACCATTGCCGTTGCCGTTGCCACCGTCACCGTCCGTGGGTTCCCTCAGCATGGGCTTGGTGGCCTCCAGGGAGCCGTCGTGGGGCTCGGGGGTGATGCCCAGCAGCTCGCAGAGGAGGGCGTAGACATTGACGCTTTCGAAGGGCTCCACCTCCAGCCCCTTCTTGAAGGCCGGCCCCACGGCACGGAAGATGGTTTTCATGTTCATTGCCTCGTTGTCAAAGCCGTGCTCTCCTTTGTTGAACTGCACCTTGTACCTCTGCAGGGGAGAGCAGGAACTTGAGCACCCCAGCCCTGCTGCCCCCCACACATGCCCCACCTCTCCCACCTGCACCGCGTTCTGCAGCTCCAGGGTTTGATGGTGTGGTCGGTTCCTTTCAGTTTTTGGAGCTGATCTGTTGGTGTTAAGCTGGAGGTGCCTCCAGCCACCAGTCTCAACCAATTACATCCTGCAGGTTCCCTCCTTAAACGTCGGCACAGCCAAATTTTGTTGTACTGAGGAGCGTCCAATGGGAAGCTGCCTGCTGGCCTTGATGCTGGGTCTCCCCTTCAGTCAGGCTAGGAGAGGATCCTGCAGTGGATATTCTGCATTCATGCAACTCCTACTCTGAGGTTGCTGGATACTTTTTCTTCTCAACAACAGAGAAGATTATTACACAAAGAGCTGGAATTGATATCTCTATATATCAAGACCGGTTAGCACAAGGGCCTAAAGCTGGGTGGGTGCTGTGGGAGGGGAGGAGTGAGAGGCACATCCCAAAGGACAGTAGGATGTGCCTGAGCATACACCTTACCCCGTGGATCACATAGCCTGGGTCGCTGTACAGCACAAGTGGGGTGATCCGGGAGTGGTTGGCGTAGTGGAACCTCTTGGGAAACTCTTCCTTCTTGTAAACGTGCAGCTTCGGGTGGGCGTTTTTCAGGGCTGAGTACACCTTCTCCAGTTTCCCTTCCTTGGGCACCAGGAGCCCACTTGGTCCATAATCGAGGAGCTCGAAGTCGAGGTCCTTGAAGGTGAAGTTGGTGACCTTGCCGAGGTGGATCTCGTCGGTTTTCACCACGGTCTCCATGCCGTGGTCGGACGTGATGATGAGGTTCAGGTTGGACTCCAGGCCGCTCTCCCGGATGCGCTGCCTCAAGTAACCCACGGTTCTGTCCACCTGCTTGATCATGTTTTTCCTCTGTGTGGATTCAGGGCCATACTTGTGTCCTGAGGAGTCTGGCTCCCCAAAGTAGAGTGTGATGAAGTCCAGGTTGTCCACAGTGAACCACTCCATGACGGTGTCGATGCTCTGCCTCCAGTTGGTTTCGTTGCTGTAGTTGAACAACGCAGGTTCCACCAACTTCTTGTACACTTCTTCCTTTTGGTATTTCGCCTTGGTTCCAGGGAAGTGGATGGAGCCTGTCTTCAAACCCTGTGAGTGGAGACATTCCATAAACTCACCTGAACTCTCTCGGCAGCATCCTTCCATCTGTCAGTGCAGCCACCTCCTAACACGATTAGTTCATTCAGTCCCCAATGCCCACCTCTGCCTCTAATGAGGTTGTCTTGCTCATTGCCATTTAAAAGTGATTAATTGAAAGCGCTGCCCTTGCACCTGGCTCCTTCACTGTGTTTTAACACCAGATAAAACTTTGGAACCAGTGACCCATTTGCACCTTGCATGGGCCCTCTGCCTCTTGACCATCACGACATTAAGGTGTGTTTTATTGAGGTCGAGGAGCCAAAGGTCTTGGGCTGGGTTTCATGTCCTGCCTCAAAGCTAGAGGGAAGCCTGCAGGGCTTGCTGTACCTCCCTATCGCTGCCACCACCCTGGATGTGCCTCAGGCTGTGTGGGGCTCCCAGGCTCAGGGTGCTCCCTGAGGAACTGGCTGAGGCTTCTTTAAACAGGAGCAGGATAACCTGCTTTATTAATGTCTTAATAAAGCTGAAATGCATCTATTATTTTTTGCTATTTTTAGCAGAATGATCATAATTATTCCTGCCAGAGTCTGGGGATTTCAGTTTTTTGCTGGTCTAATTAGCCTGACGTTCACAGGGAGGCTGGGATCTCACGGCCACCTGGGATCGTGACTTGCCTGTAGCTTTTCCTGGGGGATGGCAGGTTGGGTGAGTCTGTGCAGGGTCTGTGTGTGTGAGGAGGTGCCACACTTGCCTGTCTCTGGGCAGTGATCCAGATGGGCAGGCTGCCGTTGTCCCACCAGCTGCTTATGCCTTGTGTGGTGTAGTAGGGCAGTCTCACGCCAGTTTTGGTGTCGAACCACATGTTGTGGATCACGCCGTGGTTCTCCAGGTACCGCCCTGTGGGAGAGATGGGAGCAGGGGTGAGCCAGGCTGTGCTGGGTGTAGGGCAGGGGGGACCTTTGGCCTCTTCCTACCCTTGCCCTGTACCAGGTGGGGTCCTGGGGCAGGCAGGGAGATGCTGGGGGAGTGCTGCTTCCCCTGTGGGTTGGTTGATGCCTGGTGGGTCTTGCCTGGGTCCAGCCAGGTATTGGCACCCTCTGCAGCTATTGCTGCCCTCTGGGCATGAGCAGGTTCCTGTTATCTGGG